TATATATATATATATATATATATATATATATATATATATATATATATATATATATATATATATATATATATATATATATATATATATATATATATATATATATATGTATATATGAACAGATATAAAAATTGTAAAGTCATTAGTCAAGGAATTTAATTAAAATTCAAAAATGATATGAATTAAGTAATTAGAAGAAAAGAAATCGAAGAATTTATTTTACCATGCTATCAACATATTTCACAGCTCTCAATTCTTTTTTATAAAAAAATGAAATTTTACAGAGAAAATTTTAGAAAAGTGTTAAAATTTGACTAGTTAGCCATTAATTAATTAAGTAGATCAATTAAATAGTTTTTAAATATTGCTAATTTTATTTGTCTGTGGAAAAATGACTGCAACTTATGGGTAAATAACTGGGGAGAAATAAAAAGAATTAATCAATTTTTATTTTTGCTAAATAATTAAAATTATAATTTAAAAAAAAGAAAGAATGTTTTTCACAATTTTACATTAAATTTTCAAATTAAAACTTTTTACGCATATATTTTTCCCATTATATTCTTTGATCTAAAATGGAAAAAAAGAAAATTTTAGATTTAAAAAATCAAATAAAAGTTCAGATCAAAAATCAAATCGTATGATAGAAGTAAAGAAATGATGGGAAAAAAAATTGAAATATTTAATCTGATAACGATTCATGGAAGAGTAAGAAAGAGAGAAAGAGAGAGAAAGAGGAAGAAAAAAAATGGGAAAAAAAAAGAATGAAATTTACAAAGTTAAAATTTCAAAATGTTTTGGATCAATGCAAAAAAAAGTATGGAAGAAGATATTGCATTGATTCCTTGAAATGTTATAGTTAAAAAAAGATTTTGAAAGTGTAAAAATTCATGTGAAGAAATTAGAATGAAAAGCATTTAGAGATGAGAATGTATGAGAAGAAAGAAGAAAGAAAAGAGAGAGAGAGAGAGATCGAAAAATGAAATTGAATTGAATTGAATTGTTGTTAAGTGAAGGATGCCAATGGTACCAAATGATGCGCAAACATTCAATAT